CAGAGCGATTTGCTGTATAAGGTGACCACTGGCCTCGAACTCCAAAACTACATTCCTTAGAGGTACTCGATGTATGTGCATGAGTAGCATACCTCACAAAAGCACAAGCAAAAAGCCAATAAAATATAAATGTTACTGGCTTTCCACGGGACTGAATATATATTAGTGACAGACAAATTATAAATCTGTATCTTCCAGGATGCTGTGGAGAACAAACTGGACACCAGAGAATGGCCGCACCAGTCAGAGTGTCCGGCTGCCTGGAATGGATCCGGGGCTGTCAGGTGAGTGCTCATGCTTGGACTGAGCCATTTTGTTTCAAGACATGATAATAAATTCTGCTTGAGTTGCATCAGGCTTTTTTGGTGCTCAACGTAACCTTAAAAGCTTTGGCATTGTGTCTTTTTTGTTTTTATTTCCAGGTATTGTAAACATTTTCCAAAGTACTGCTTGAAATTTCTATTTATGTATACACCTAATTAATCAAACGTAATAGGCAGTTGTCTTTTCATTTTCATCTGAAGAAAACACAAGATAGCAAATTTCAAGACATGTTTAACCCACACAAAGTCCTAACTTCCTTATAGAGACAATGGTAGGTAGTAAGAGGGTGATGAGTTGGCGCCCTCTGGTGATTATTTTTGTAACTACAGTAAGTTTTATCTCAATCTCTTCAACACCCTTCTCCCTGGCTTTCTTGCTGTTTATTTCAATGGCTGCTGCCACTTTTTCTCTTAAATGTTCCAAGTTTCTGATGCCCCTCCTCTGCTCCACAGTGCCCGCCAGAAGCACAAACCCAGCTCTCAGGATGAACATCGGACTGGCTCGCGTCTCATCATCTTTGTGATAGGGGGAATCACTTTCTCTGAGATGCGCTCTGCCTACGAGGTCACCCAGGCAGTGAAATCCTGCGAAGTCATCATAGGTGAGCAATAATACAAGACTACACTTTGACTTCGCTTTGTATCTCCAAACAAGTTGCGCTCAGTCAGTGTACTGTTATGAATCAGTGACTTGTTGCCACTGAGTTCGTCTAAAGAAGGCTATGATTCTAATGACAAATTGTGGCTCAGTTGGACAGACCATTGCAAAAAATTGTAAAAATTTCACTCACTGCCTCTTTTTATTTCCAGCTGATTTACATCCCCTGCTGGAGCCAATTGGAATTTTGAAAGGACTTTTAGATCTAATTTGAGAGTTAATGTTTTTTTTTTATCCGTTGTTTCCAGGGTCTTCGCACATTTTGACACCCACCAGTCTCCTGGATGACATCAAGGACTTGAGCAAAGGCCCGGTGGAAAGCTTTACTATAGATGAAAGGAGCAACGCCTGAGAAGTTTGGCCCTCGACGTAGAACCTCCCCAAACTCCCCCCCGTTTTCCTGCATCTCATATGGCTCAGCACAGTGCACTCAACTCAACTTCCTGATGGAATACTGAAGGGAATTTACCTTGTACTCGTCTTTTTGTCTTTTTAAGCCTGATGCACATTTATGGTAGGCATGAGGACACATATTCTTTTAACTTGGTCTTTTTACGTCACAAAGTTTCTTCTGAAAGCACTAAGAACAGCTAAGACTGTAGCCTGCTTCGCCCAGCTAGATATTGAGATTTGATGATAACGATCATGTTAAAAATCTATTGACCTCATCCTACTAAGAGTATTTTATGTAAAAAATGTCTAACCTGCCCATTTGTGTTTGCCTTTGTTACAAGTAGAATGGCCTCTGAGAAACCTTTGGAGACAGAATGGTGGTGAAAGCAGCACAAAGTTGATGTATATACTGTATGTAAGCACTGAGTCCCTGCTATGCTATTTTGACTCTTTCAGTCACTTCTGTTTGTGATCACATAATGTAATTTGAAGAGTGTTTTTAACATATAGAGTATTTACGTTTTTCTTAAATTGAACAACTGACTAATAAATGGATGAAGTGGTTCAAATCTTTATACTTCTTTATAGATAATGTTTTCTTAATTGCAATCTAGGATGGTGCTAAACTGCCAATACCAGCGTTGAAAACGTAGGAAAGAAACCAGTGTAATGAAATTACTAAAGGACCTTCATGATCAAGGTAAACCTAAATATATACAGCACAAAAAATATTTGCACCATGTTTGCACATGTAATTAAACAGTAATACACTAATAGTAAACCCAAAACAAATAAATCAGATCTTGTTTTAAAATTTGGCTTCAAGTTTTAACCCCCGACTCCAAACTCCCACAGAAAAAAAAATAAGAAAAAAAACAAAACAAAGAAACTGCGGGTGCCCCTATAGCTCACCCGGTTGAGCGGGCGACCCATGAATAGGGGCTGTAGTTCCTCGATGTAGCAGTCATGAGTTTGACTTTCCCCCCCCCCCCCTCTTGTCTCACCCTCTCACTGTCCTAACTAATAAAGGCAAAAACACCAGAAAAAATTATCTTTAAAAAAAACAACACAGAAACCACTGTGTTAGAACATGGCCAACTGAAAGCAGGACAGAGCAGAACTTTCTAAAAACACCATCAGAGATATTCAACCAAGGCCTTCTGTAAACCACGTGTCAGATAGAAAACTCTACAGGAGCAGCCATTGTTCCATGAACATGCTGCACTTTATGGACTTTATGGGAGGATATTATGAGGTTTCTATGTCATAGATCATATCTGGCCTACTTTTCCTTCTGGCATTATGCTTCAGTTACATGGCACTTTGGTGGTTCGTGGCATACTCAAGCATATACACAATGCAGAAAAGAGTACATGCTTCCTGTGCTGTCAAAAGGCTAAATACGATAGGGGTGACAAATCTTTGAAGTTGTGAAGGAGCTTTGTAGACGAGGTTAATGGATCACCATACATTAGATTGGTTTTATACAAAATAAATGGAGACATGTTTTGCTCTAATTCATAATGTAACTCAGCAACAAAAGAAAAGTGAGGAATGAATGAAAGACTTTAAATAGAGATGACTCAAATTGCTAAATGGTTATGATGTGTCAGAAATAGCTATTAAAAGTGTTTCGAGTTAAACTGAGGATCGAGTTAGCAGTTAAATCCAACAAACAGTTCTACTTTGTATTTAGCTTGTATGTACGGGAGAGCCGAGGGACAGGACACACATCCTGACCTGATTTCCAGTGAAGGTATCATGTTTGTGAGAAGGAGAGCATATCAGAGATCATAGATGTAGTTAAAGTAGAGAATAGTGCAGCTTTTACATAAAATGTTTTCAATCAGAATCATGTATTTTTTCTGTCCTCTTGTAGCAATAAAACTAAATAGTATACAATTTATGTTTAGATGCATGTGCACTGCCTTTCAAATGTATATGAACAGTGGAGAAAATCGATTGTGATGCTATGTAAGATATTTGATTTTTGAGATTAAAACAACAGTGAAACAAATATTGAGCATATACATATAGTAAAATATATATATTTAGTTTCTTGAATATGTTTTTTATTAGAAATCCAAAATTAATTTAGCAAAATAAAAATATTAATAATCACTATATTTGTGTCTTAGGAGTATGTAGTCGGTGACATTAAACTGCTGCTGTGTTGTCGCCTGAAGACTACACTGACTTTATGTTGGAGACATAAATGTCCTGGTGTTCTGTTTTATGGTTTTGGCTTAAACTACACACAACTTGCTTTCTGACCATGTAGACACTAAAATATAAATAACAATAATACTGTATATCAACAGCATCAGTGAGTTGTGAGCATGTGGGTGATTGCATACTTTCTTCTGTTACTTAGGCTTACTAATTCATTTGGACTTCTGTTTGGATATTTTTTGAAGACACTTCAATCATTTAAGGCAGGAAACATTTAAAGGGAAATACACAAACAGATTAGCACTGGTGTTGTGTGATGAACTTCCACCACAGACTGAAACTAAGTGCAGCAGTGTCAGTTACAGGAAAAGTGTCAGGTGACTGTTGAACACACACACTGTCGGAGGGTGGTCCTGCTTCATTGATCCTACATACAGAAACACTTAGACCTGACAAGGACAACCCTGCTCTCTAGCAATGGCCTGCTTTCAGTTTTCACTTCTGTTTTATCTCATGCTGCCAGAGGTCTCCAAATACACACACACTGTACATGTTTCAATTTGGTTCAACAACAAGAAGAATTTATTAATACAACAGCACATAGAAAGTCTTGATTTGTGAATACCTCATTTCTAATGTATGCAAAGTCAGCATGGCAGAGGCTTGCCCTTAAAACTAGCAAATCTTAAAAGACTCCAAAAACTAACCTAGTACATTTATTAGTCAAGTAACAGGTATTTATATAGATATTTAAAATAACCCACATTGACAACTTTTTCAGAAAAAAAATGTTGCAAATTTTTTTTTACCTTAACCCTACAATATTATTTATTTATACAAATGTATCCGATAAATTCAAAATTAAAGTTAAGAACCTACAATAATATATATATTACACAAATGTACCTAAATAAGTTAAATGTTACGGTTAAGAACCTACAAGATGATTTATTATGTATACAAAAAAAAACTGTTTATAGGTCTGATAAAATTAACCAAAATCCTTCAAAAACTGGACAATAATATTATTTATTATCTTTATTAATTAACTCTTTACTACATTTCTAAGAAATCCATGACATAACTCTTTAATTAAGCTTAATGACAATGAGGGAAATTTTTTAACTTCAGGAATACTTTATTTTTTAGCACACAGGGCACAGTTTTTGTTGCTTTAATTTGTTGACATTTGTTCAAAGTTTTGCGACTAAAAATCTTATTTTTTTTGTTTGTTGTCTTTCGTTTACGCATGCGTGAGAAGTCATCCGTCCCACCCGCGCAGACTCTGCTGTTGTCATGACAACCAGCGCTTACAGGAAAGTTAAAACTCAAATCTGACTTCTGACAGCTGAACTTTTCTTCTCTTACAAAACACAATAGTTAATGTAACGTTGACTCTACGCTAAATGTTGCTGTAGTCAACTGGACTCGGGTGAATTGTCTTCAGGGAGGCTACGCCCCGGATAAAATGCTGTCGACGACCTGCGGAGGTGTCGCGGCAGATGCGATACGAGAAGGTGCGTCGTCTCCCTTCGCCTCAGCCAGCGAAAAGAGACAAGGACTCGGTGTTCAGGAGTGGCTCGACGGGTCCAGATATGAGGGAGAGTTTGTAAACGGCCTTAAACACGGCAGAGGAAGATACACCTGGATAAATGGAGAGGTAAAGTGAAGTTAAATGATAAAGAGCCAGGGGAAAGATGCATTAGAGCATTTTCTCCAGCTTAGCTTAGCCAAACTTTTAAGTTCCTTGTGTAAATTACAGAAAGGTCCTACATAATATACATTTTTAGTCCTGTCAGTTTTTCCTGAAATTTAATAAAGCAGGTTGCTCTCTGAATTATTTGTCTCTTCCTTTGTGTAGTCCTATGAAGGCTCTTTCTACAAAGACTACAAACATGGAGATGCACTTTACTGCTGGCCCACAGGCCACAAGTTCATTGGTAAGTTCTACCTCAACAGAAAGGAAGGATATGGACAGCAAGTGTTCCCTGATGGAGCCACCTTTCACGTAAGCTGAATGCATGGTTGACAGGTGTTATTTTTCATATATTTTTTGCTTGTAAATAACAGTTAATAGCAGCGAACCTCTCCTGTCCTCTCAGGGTCTGTACCACAATGACCAGAGGTTTGGTCCAGGTGTGGTTAGCTATTCAGACGGGCGACAGGATGTGGGTCTGTGGCTCGGGGGGCGCCTGCTGAGGTTCTGCACCCCTCTAGAAGAGGGCTTTAGCCTCAAGAACTTCCCTGAGTATGCTGCCTGCATGGACTCATCTGTTACTGCAGACCCTCTGACTCAGGTACATGCTGAACACTGTCCCATCCATGGGTGAATAATCTAAACGTCTTCATTTTTGTATACATAGTATGTTCAGTTTGAAATAGGGACATCCCAGTTGTGTGCACATTCAACTAAAATGTTTTAAGTAAATGTAACTACAGGTCGGAAAAGTATCTGCATATAAGTCATTTAATTAACTTTTGAAACATTCTTTTGAAAGCCAATGTTTCAGTCTTAAAAATCTTCCTTACACAAGCATTAAAGGGGAAAAAGAGGCATTTCTTACCTAATCTGCTCAAATTATTGTCACTTTTTGGTAGGCAGGTCGCAAGGAGAACAGACGACAGAAATGCAATCCAGAAGCATTTTTAGAACACAGGACAACATTTCTCGATCCTGTGTTAAAAGTATCCGAAAAATGACACTTGTCTTGTTAGTGACTGATTCTCAGATAGCCTCCACAAAAATTATACAACACTCATCTTAAAGCGAGAAAGCGAGAAAAGAAAAAAGGAATATATTTAGCACACCTTTAAAATATATAGGGTTTACACAAGAAGGTTTGATAGATGAACTAGATGTCACAAAATTTTACCTCTCTTCTCCTTATAAGCCACAGTTTCACTCTCATGATGTACAAACGAAAGCCAGGACAAACTGTAGGCTAAGTTACTGATATAATGAACTACTGTATGAGCTTTGTGACTTAACTCATTACAGATTAGTTACCTCTCCTCCCCCCTCAGGTGAATGTAGACAAAGATCTGCTGGCAAATGAGAACGCTATCCTGCCCCCCGGCATAGAGAGTTACTCAACAGATGGTGACCACTTGCCGCTTCCCCCTGGCCGAAGAAGAGAGTTGGACCAACTCTTTTATGGTGAGCTGTGGGAGCCGGATGCTCATCCACACCAAGGCTGTGAGAGGGACCCACTCTCCACTCTGCCCTTACAGGCCCGCATGCAGGCTCACATACACAAACACAGGTGAGGCACAAGATAAAAAAGTGTTGGTTCCAAACACAATGTATTAAGAACAAGAAAACACACTCACACAATTGTTATGGCTACAATACACCTGCATATTTGTGTGTTTGTCTCTCAGACTGCAGGCTGAAAATGTGGGCTGGGATGTGGCAGCTGCTCTCTCTATGAACAGGGAGACTTTTGGTCCTAAAGGGCCATTGGAAGTCAGGTCCGAGCTTTTGATTCAACACGCCTCCCAAGGGGAATTGCAAGCTGTGTCACAGATCCTCCGGACTGGTTTGATCCACCCTGATGTAACAGATTCACAAGGACACACTGCATTGATCGCTGCCACGGTAACATATGATTCATTATATTTTACATTTTGTTTGTTGATTTAGTCAAATTTTATTTTTTTATTTGATTGTTATCCATTAACAGTGAAAGCCTTCAGAAGCATAAATTGTCAAACATTGAACAATTAAAGTTCACAAGCACAGCTAGATACAAGTTTTAGATGTTATCGTTTTTAAACTTGATCCATGGATAGTGTCATAGTTTCTCTGACTGTTTTATCTGTGTTGTTTTTCTTCACCTGTCAGGTAAACTGCCACAATGATGTGATACACCTGTTGTTGGATATGGGTGCTGATATTGACAAGTTGACCTGCGAAGGCTTGTCTGCCCTGGCTGTGTGCCATGTCCTCTACTACCCTTTCAAGTCTCTGAACACCGCTTTGGTTGACCCACCTGCCAAAACTCCAGTAGGATTGTGCCTAATGTAGTTTGTAGAATTTTGTTTGATGGCAATGTCTTTTGGTTGCCCACTACTTTGATCAACTATCAGATGAATTGTAATTAAATTATGTTAAAACATGCATATATCCAACACAAGTCACAAAGACATTTTTGGTCGAACCAAAAATGAAATTTCTTACGGAACTGTACCAATATTGCCAAGGTGATACCATAGACGAGTGATCTACTGATCTTTTGTTTAACAAATGTCTCAAAAACTTACATGATAACTTGTCATCAGGTTGTGGAATCTGCATCTTCATGTGCAAACAGCCTCCAGATCAGCCAAGTTAACGTCACTGCGGACACACCTATACTCAACAACAGACCTCAAACCCCCGACACAGCCTTGAGGAACCAGAGCCATCTCGCTGACCAGTAAGAATGAATCCAGTAACACTTGTCTCACATACTCTTGAGAATAAACGGTATATAATTTGAATCCTGTTATGTATAGTGGGTATTTTCCACTACCAAGAACTGAGACACAGCAAAGTCACACATAATGGTCTTGCAAATATTGTATTCATAGATTTGTCCCTTCCTACAACATTGTCACCACCTTTTGGCCAGTTATGAAGTATGTCTCTAAAACAAGCCAGTTTGGGTTCTTTATGTTCTGTTTTTCAGGACATCAGAAGAACTCACAGAACACATCTCACCTCAGAGCAGTAAAGTGTCCATTGACAGTAAATTCATCACAAAGCGCTGGGTTGGCCGAAACGAAAAGGTTGCAAAAACTGAACATTTACAGGAGGAGAAGAGAAAAGAGAAAAGTGGAAAGGTTAAAGACTGTGAGGAGACAGAAAGAGAGGGAGAAGAAAGGAGCTTTGAGGAGGATGAGGAAGACAGTGAAAGGGAGGAAAGAACTGAGAACTGTTGTGATCAAACATGGGAAAATGAAAAAAGGGAGGTAAAAGGTATGTTAAGAGAATTTAAAAATGGGGAAACAAAAGAGAAAGACGTTGAGCTTGTTGAGAACAGAGAAACTCAGTCAAGAAAAGAAAATATGGAGGAGCAAGAGGAGGCTGAGGAAGATGTGGAGCGTTCCATCGAGGTGCTGGATTGTCACATCAAACTGGGCAGTGTGAAGTGGAAAGAAACTCGAGCTAAGGTAGGAGAAAGAGTTCATACTGTACATAATGCACGGAGATCCCCTCCTGTAAGTGGTTTGATAAGTTGGTACTTGTTTTGATTTGCTTTTGTCTATTTCTTTGTGTGTCTGCTGTAGAGCAAAGACAAAGATGTGACCCCAAAACAGTCCTTTGACTCTGCTTGTTCGCTCAGTAGCTATAACATCCAGGTGACAGAGGAAATGATGCAGCGGTCGGCAGAAGCACTGAGTCGTACAGGGTTTCCTCAGTGCGCCGACACACAGGGGACTGTACGCAAAATGGCTGCCATGAAAATTGAGTCAGTCCTGTTTCTCTGTCTGTTTTCTTATTTAATGTGCTGTTTGTTCTGTTCTAATAATACTGATGTTATATCTCCCTCTGTGTATATGAACATTTGATGTGTTGCCTGTGTGATCAGGCACCGTGTTCGTTTAGACACCTTGAAGCTGTTATTGGAACGGGGAGCTGATCCCAACGCAGCCAGGGTCCCCTTGCTTGTCCTCTTTTTAGCCATTATGGCTGCAGACACCGAGGCTGTGAGGAGACTGCTGCTGTGTGGAGCTCGCACTGATATTCCCCTCCCACCAGAGGTAGGAATTTACATTTTGACATGTTAAATCAAAGAGAAAAATAATGACAGTTATATTATATCCCTGTATATCTCATCCTTTCTGTAGAAGAAAGGTCTGTATCCCCTACACGTAGCTGCAGCGCTGCCAGGTCCCACAGGCCCCAGAATCACAGAGCTGCTGCTGCACACTGTCCCTGACCCAGACGCACGGGCATGTGACCAGGACGAGGTCTATGAGCCAGACAGGGTGTGTGTGTGTGTGTGTTTTCATGCAGTGAATTTTTTTAGGATCCTTAGTAGTGAATGTGTTGGTGTTATTACAACTGGTATAAGAGTGTTTGTTACAGATTTCCATGAAGACCGAGGAACCCCTGAGCTCCAGCAAGAGCCCACATCTCAAAGAAGGAGGCCGAACTGCGTTGCACGTGGCCTGCCAAAGAGACAGTGACTATGTGGTCAGTGAATACTTTGCACACAGTCACACCCACACGCATCATCACTCATATGAGACATGATTCGAAAAGATTGTGGAAATCTATAACATCACAATGACAATAAAAAAAAGATACGTTTTGCACAGAAAATGCATTGAGTCCATTTGTATGTCATTTGAATTTAAACAACATGGATTTTTTTTATCAGAAAAAAATGAATAATTACCTTACTGCTAAATTCAATCTTTGCATGACTGTAAGAGACTTTGTGCAAGGCAAAAAAACATGTACAAGGTTTTCTTATAATAAAATTTTGATCCATTTAAATGACTTGTGTTTTTTCCCAGAATGCCAGTAAAGTGGTAGCCCTCTTGGTCTCCCACAGCGCCAGCACAGACCTCCTGTGGAGTGGACACTCACCTCTCTCTCTGGCAATAGCAAGTGGCAATGAGCTGGTACAGCCCCTCCACACACACAGATTCACACACGCACATGCACACCAAACCTCACTTACTCCCAGACCTGTTCCTTGTCCTTGCTCAGGCGGTGGAGGAGCTGTTGAAGGGGGGCGCAGATCCCAGCATACCCCTGGGCCGCAGGGTGGGCAGTGCTCTATGTGCCGTCGCCAACATCAACTACCACTTAGGTGGCAACAAAATTCAGCTGGTACAAACAGATACACACACACTTATATGTGTAGATGAAAATGTTTCTCAGACTGATGCTTAACCTCCTCAAGGCATGCTGCAGAGTAAATATCCCACTAGTCACCTGCACTAAGAGCACATACAGCCAATTTATTTAACAAAGCTAACATTAGGTATTTTCTAAACTTTATATATGAAAGTTTTTTATGTACAAAACACCAAAGATAACTGTGTTCCTGATGGCTTCAAATGAGTCAAACTGAAAGCTGGACTGGGCAGAAATGTGAAAAAGGTAAAAGGAACTCTTCTCTATCTATCCTAAGCCCCTCTCACCAGACGGACACGGACATACAAGGTGTGTCAGAAAAGTTTCAGGACTGGTATCACAAAAGATATATTTCAAATTCCGACTACACATTTCCCCATTCAGACAAAGTAATCCCCCTGGAGTCTAACACACTTTCCCAGCCTTCTCTGCCATGCCACCATGCACTCCTGGAAGGATTCGTCCGGGATCCTCCACAGCTCCGTCGCCACAGCCATCTTGATGTTGTCCACGTCTTCAAAACGGGTCCCCTTGATGACCCCTTTGAGATTGAGGAAGAGGATAAAATCCCATGCAGCCAGGTGGGGTGAGTAGGGAAGTTGCTCCAGCACTGCAATGTTCTTCTCAGCCAGGAACTGTTGGATACTCAGGGCATTGTGAGCAGGCATGTTGTCATGGTGAAGCAGCCACAACTTGTCCTGCCACAACTCTCGCCTCTTCTTGTGCACTGAACGAAGCAAACGCCGCAGGATCTCTTTTTTGACATGCTGGTTGATCGTCTGAAGGGGAAAATTCGTAATTTTCAGTTTGGGTTTGAAATATATCTTTTGTGACATCAGTGCTGAAACTTTTCTGACATACCTCATATACACACATTTCAAACATGCACACAAACCCAAACTAACATGAACACAAAACTGAAATAGTCACAGCTGCAGGTGTTAAACTTTGGCTGTGGTTAGCTGATGTCTAAACTATTAGCAATATTTTACACAGCCACTCATTGCCAGCTTACAATAAATTTACTTTTCTAACCTAACCAACCACTTGGCCTACTCTGTGCACTGTAGGTTGTGCCAGCTTTAATTTAATTCAGTACCCACTCTTTATTACTGAAATGATTGTATGCCTCAGCATTCATTTTCAAAGGAAGATAAACATTTTCAGGGTTTTTTGTATATGGGTCTTCAGGGAAAAAGCAGTTGCTATGTTGATGCTTTGAGAAGAATTAGGCTGAATCATGTGTGTGTCCTTGGTGTAGTTGGAGATGTTAGCTAAGGCTGGCGCTGACATCTTAATGCCAGTCATGGTGGGCGATGTCGTTGGATCTGCAGTTGACTATGCACACTACTCCTTCAGCCAGGTAATCCACCATTTGTAAATATACTATACATTTCATTTGAATTTAGTCAAATGCAAAAAATTAACAGTAAATCATATTTTTGTAAACTTTACATATTTTTTTTCTTCTCTGTCAAAAAGTTGTTGATTTAACTTTTCTTTTTTTTAAGCCATAGTTTTTGGTATTATAGCACTAGGCTGCATTATATTGACAGATGCATCTTGCATCCATTATGTGTACCAATGCTGGAGGACAGTGAAAAAGCATGAGAAGTTTTTTTGTGATTTAGTTGATTTGTAATTCCACCTGAATAGCTGTCTACCTGATATATGTTACTCTGTAGGACTTGCATATTGCCAAAACTCCTTTCCACATTCTGAGCAAGCGGGAGAGGGAAATATTCAAAGCACGACGCCAGCTGCTCAGCAAGATGGGAGAGTTGCTGAGACAGACTGCTGGCCAGAGGGAGAGACAGAATCTAGAGAGAGAACAACACCTTACATTGAATAGTCAGTGCAGTGCATTTATGTCTTTTTGAAGGCAAAACAAATATTATTTAGTTTATTATTGTCTTTGCGTATTGCTGACAACGATATCGTGTGTGTTTTGTTGTGTGTGTGTGTGTGTGTGCACTGTATGAATGTAGCAGGTACCACGAGCTCAGAGAGGATTGCACACACAGGAGGAGAGGCCAAGTCTTCTAACAGGCCCCTCCTCAGCCATGGAGGCTTACAGGAAAAAGCAGAAAACTGCAGGTATACATACTTACACATTCATGTAAAGTGCCTGCGTGTTTTCTTTTTTTTCTGCTGTCTGTCATTTAAACTTGTACTTTGTCTAAACCTATTTCCAACTCTCTGTGTAAATGTTTTCTTAGGAAACCAGTGTTTAAGTTCTGCTATCACTGCGGCCGCTCTGTGTCTGTGAAGCTGACTGCATGTTGCCGCTGCCACAAGGTCTTCCACTGCTCCATGAACTGCAAACATAAAGCCTGGGATGAAGGACACAAGGAAGAGTGTATCCGGGTGTCAGGTGGGAATCAGGCTGTCTCCTTCCAACAGTTACAAGCCAGCAAACCAAATCAACACCAGCCCTGATATATTTCCCCACAAGCACCAAAGCTTAAACCAAAAGTACCACAAAACAAGCTTTTAATAAAATGAAAATATGTGACTTTGTCATAGTGTTTTGAATCTGTGATTCAGCTTTGATAGGTAAAATTATGCATTAGATACCAATAGATAATGTACAATATCTGGGAAATGCTAACATGGTTTTATCTGCTGGATGAACAGAGCATGTAAATACTTTGTCTATCTGTCTCCCTGAAACCAGCCTCTGCTGATGGCATCCAGAAGACTGTTGTGTTTAAATCCCCAACAGGCCAAAGGCCCTCAACTGTCACGCTGAAAACCAAAACAGTCCCCAGGCCACTGAGTGTCAAGTTGAAATCCCACAGATTACCTGAGCCCTTGAGCATGGCAGAGAAGGACTTGGAGGACCAAGTCAACCTGAATGAAAACTACAGCTTCATCTGATGGACACTAAAAATTCACAGCCTTACTAATTCATCATTTACCAAGAATAACAATGCATTTCTCTGACATCACTTCTTTATATGACTCTGATACATATTTGTGTCAGAGTTGTATCTCGTTATTTTATACACATTATGCAGTAGGTTTGCAATCTGTAATAATTTTGAATTACTAACGTAATATTGTCTGCTTCTTTTTGTGCTTTTGCCAATGAAAAATTGCAAATTCTGACTGGCTGAATCCAAAGGGAACTAATACAAGATTTTGACATATAACGTCTTTTATGCTTTTATGTGTTCTGACTAATGCCTTTATTATTGCTGGTCTTCATTATATCAGCTCAAATAAAAAGCTGAAGACAGTGTAATTGTATGGTTACACATTACAAAACAATACATTGCTATTTATAAAAATTCAGATTTTGGATGTAGACATTATTTACAATTTTGGCCTGTAATTCACATGTAGTGTAATATCCCTTTTCTCTAGTTTTACTGGTTAACATGTGTTAATTAACAAAACTAAAACACTTGACAACATTTTGACTTCTGCCAACAGATCAGACTTTTACCAACAGTAAAAATGACATCTGAACATTTCTGATCAACTTTATTGTATTTTTGAGGGATTTAAAAATACATTTTCCCATCAAAGTATAAATAAAATAAAAATTCATCATTCTCTGAAGGCTCAACATGTGAGTTTTTTGTGGAGTTTATCTTTTGTCCTGTCTTCGTTAGTTGAATTTCTGTTATTTCTGTTCCTTTTCTTCCACACAGGGATCACTTTAGGCTTGATTTTGAATCTTCATGCCACTGTTACAGTATTGGCGAAAGACCTCATTGCCCTTCCAGCCTAACTTCTTCCACTTCCCTTCTTCAACTTCGTCCAGTTATCAGACACAGATGTTCTGACAGCAGCTGCTCTGGAGTTTGCGTCTCACACAGTTATTTTATCGACAGCATGCTCGACAGTGACACCGAGGACGTACACATGGAGGTCACTGGCCCTGTGGAAGAGGAGGAGGAGTACTTTGATGCCGTGACAACTCTGTAGCTCAGGTGGTAGAGCGGGTTGTCCACTGATGGCAAAATTGGCAGTTCAATCCTCCGGTCCTCCCCACATGCTGAAGTGTCATTGGGCAAGACACTGATGGCAGATTAGCGCCTTGCTCTGTCACCATTGGTGTGTGAATGTGTGTGTGGATGGGTGAAAACACATTATAGAGCACTTTGGGTACCACTAAGGCGCTATATAAGTGCAGACCATTTACCATTCTTGAATACGTGACTCATCTTTCATTGAATTTTAATTGTAGATGAAGTTTGAGTTTGTAAAAAGTTACTCAAAAGTAAAGTTTTCCTTTGACTATAATAGATGTACAATGTAGAGATTCACGTAATAGATGGAGTACTTTAGTTGCAGTTACTTAATTGAATTGAAGTGATATGTGTTGATTGAGCTGAATTTATGCAATATATGCATTATATTGAATTGAATTATTCTATTGTCCTGATTGTATAATTGTAAACATGTGGTTTAAGTCCCCAGATGGTCACTAAGACAGTGTCAGCTGTGACGGGTTTGTGTACCACAGTTTGTTTCTGTGGATAAAATACTCCGTGATTCTGATTAAATATTTAAAAAGTTTGTTAGCTTAAACTTCATTTTTTGTCACATTCATGTAGTGAAAGAATAACTGAATGGAACAATCAAGTATTAACAGATGACAATAAAACAATAGGAAAGACAGTAAGAGTAGAAAAAAGATCAAAAGCTATACAAATGTCTGTCTGTACAAGGTGTGTTTTTAAAAGCTTTTTAACTGTAAATTTGAGCTCGTTCCATTAGCATTGGGGGTAAAACAGCAAAATCACTTTGTTTTAAGCTGGGATTGTGGAACTTTTAACAGAACTTTGATCTCTAATCTGAAGTGTTGAGATGCAGAATAAGAAGTTAAAAGTTCATGTATGTTTGTGGATAACAGAACTGAAGCAGCTGGAGGTCCAGGTAGGTCAAACATGAAAAACCAAATGATGCAAAGTCAAATCCAAAAGGTGATAAATACAAAAAAACAGAACACAAGGCGGCTTTAAGAGGAAGAACAGTGGTGAAGAGACAGAATATAAATCCAGAGAGACGTAATGAGGAACAAACAACAAAATCCAGTTTACTGATGTATCCCTATTCTACAGAACTGTTTCTATTTGTGTCTTTCTCTTATCTTTTCATGTACAAATTCTAAGAGATTTACTTTCATAACTTCCAATGGGAAAATGTGACACCCTGATTATTTCACTGTTGTCTTTCCTGCAGCACCACCCTCAGGTCAAATGTTGCACAAAGCATCGTCAGTATATTTGAATTACATTTAGTACTAATTTATTGTGGTGTGCAATGAACAGCGTGTCTCTGTGGTTACAGTTTCTTCAAGTTGTAGCTGAAGTGCCAAACACTGAGCCTGAATTAAGAATCTCACTAGGTCTCATTTCCAATGGTGGAGGACGTATGCAGATTATTTAAGTAAAGGTGTCGGTACGACACTGTGCAAAGAACAGAATACAAGTAAAAGTTTTGCAAAATATGACTTTAGAAAAATTACAGAACTTAAAACATAAATTTAAAGAAAAGTTTTTATGAGATTAGTCCTACAATAATGTGATTATGTTGAATTAGTTTTACCTACTTTGTATACTGTTATTATTAATATTGTTACTGGTATTTTAGGTGAGTGTTTACCAACCTGGTGGTCAGGCCCCTCCAAAGACACACAACAAAGCTTGAGGATTTTAAGATGATTGATGAGACTGAGAAGTGGAAAAACAAAACAAGTTTGAATAAATGCTGAGAATTCTCTCTAAACTTTGTGTGTGAAATACTACGAAGTTAAAACCTAAAGAACTAAACCTCTAGATCTGCAAGGTAGGGCGTTGTAGTAAAGCAGTCCGTCACATAAAATTAAAACTTGCAGAAAAACTTGGCCCTGAGCAGCATTCGGCCTTCCAACACGACCTGAAACTTACAGCAAACGTGGTTAAGAAATGTTTTTAAAAAAATAAAAAACGAAACAAAACAATATAAACATTTTGGAGCAGCCCAGCCAAAGTCCAGACCTTAATCTCACCCAGACAGTGTTGAAGGAACTGAAGACCAGAGTGATGGCAAGGAGGCCTTCCAACCTCAACGACCTTAAGATTGTCACAAAAGAGAAGTAGAATAAAATTCCAGTTGAAAGTGTTTTTTGTTTTTTTGTTTTTAACTGTTAAGCTGATGTGGTTGCAAATAAAAGCTTTGTCAGTGCTTGTTGAGGAAAAGATTGAATGATTTTGCACATTGCATTATTTGTAAAAAAAATAAAAATAAAAAAATGTAGAAAAAATAAAAATACTAAAATGAAATAGTTATGCCCACAGTAGTAACCACAGTGTCCTACTGTCTTTTGTCAAGTCTCTGTCATTTTACACCTTATGATCAACCAAAAATTCACTATAAATCCAAATTTTGGACGGGTTTGAATGACTTTGGGCTTCAGTTAAGCGTTTTTTGTTTTGGAACTCTTCAGCACTCATTCAAATGTCTGGTGTTCTGATGTAACACTTAGATCTTCGTAATAACATGATAATCAAGTGTATTTGTGCAGAGAAAGGCGTGTCAGTACTTTAACAAGCTGTGTTGGCAGAGTGAGCTTATTGCTTGTTTGTTTCCTGACATTGCACACTCATGAGTCAGCTGGAGGCGGACCCACATGGACCAGGAACACACTGTCGCACTGACAGCTACTGGATACAACTCCTGACCGAACTACAGCTGGAGTCTTAAGTATTTCAAAGGAGACTCGAACGAGCTGCTTCACAAATAGCGTGTGAATAAAATATTCAAGGGCTGGAAAATGAGCACGGATCTGGAGGAGCAGGAAGACGAACTGCTCGCTCTGCAGAGTATCTTTGATTCGCAGGAGTTCGTCCGAGATGAGCCGAAGTGTGCCGGAGAAATCCGAGTGTCTGTTGAGCTTCCTCCGGACTTCAGTGTGGTTCTGAAAGAAGGTAAACCTGACAATTACAATATTGAGTATGTTGTTGTCTTTCGATACTGTGCAAATTATACTTTCTGCATGATTTGCATGTATCGCTCCTCCTGAGCACATATAATGATGTAATCTATGGCAACCCTTTAAACATTTACCCAGCAGCCTTAGTGACAACTGTATCCACCTGCTTTCTGGCATATTACATTTCTAAACCAACATATCTGTGATGCCATTTTGAGTAGCAGAAGTTTTAATGAGATATTTCTATTAATTTCTCACCAGTCAAAATGTTAACTTTTAATGTCTTACTTGTGGAAATGTCCATTGTAGAGATCTGTAACCTCATTACAACCAGTCAGCTTGTACCACTGACCTTTTTTCATAATCAGTTACAGTTATCTACAATTGACATACCTGTAATGGTTCTAATTAGTGATATCTACCACTCAATTCTCAACATTTCAGTTGTCACTAGTGGAGATGTACATTTTTGATATTCAGGATTCAAGAAAGTGTTTAAATTCAACAATAACAGATTTCATGTGTTTCAAAAGCTATAACCTTTAACATAACACCAATAATAACAGAGTTTTTTAAAAAAGGGGGGAATATTTGAGTAAATATACATTTTTCTTGTATCTTTAAGCAGCATTTAAGCAGCACTGTTTGCCCATATCATGCCCACTTTCCCTCCCCTGTCAACACGCCTACATTGGCAAAAAATGAAAGTTTTCTGCTATTTTGTGAAAGACTTTGGTCATCTTGTGATACTGTTTGTCTCCCTTCAGGTGATTCTCTGAGGCAGTATGAGATTTCATTCCTGCCACCTCTGCTTCTGACCTTTGACCTCCCCCATGACTACCCATCCTCCTCCCCTCCCTCTTTCACCCTCACCTGCAGTTGGCTGACTCATCCACAGGTAAACAACACAAGCAATGTGGGTCAGTGAAAGCAATGCTGCTCATACAGTTTTCCAGTGTGTGTGATTGTCATAAAGACAGAGATAAATGCAGATTGCAGACATTCAAGAAAGATTACATCAGTTTATCTGCCGTCTCCTCCCACAGCTCACTGCGTTGGATGCTCAGCTCACTGATCTCTACCAGGCCACTGGGGGCGCTGTGGTGCTCTTTTCCTGGGTGCAGTTTCTCAGAGAAGATGCTCTGAAGTTTCTAGACATCCACAGCCTGCTGGAGCTCCCCTCTGATGAACACAGCACTCAGCTCTGTAACCAAGACAAAGAAAATGCTGCGCTCTCAGAACCAAATAGTAATGAACACACTCCACAGTCTGAACCCACCGATGACCAACGCTGTGATGTGTCAGATCCATGCCAGCCGGACCTCTCTGGATCATCTTTGCAATTTCAGGAGAATCCTTCAGCCTCAGATGGGAGCAGCACAGACTCTCAGGGAGCTTCTTCTTTAGACTCTCACCAACAAGAGACGATGGTCCAAAACCAAATCGCACAGGCTTCAAATGTGACAGAGGCTGAACAAACCATCCAAACCTCCGAGTTTCAGGCTGACTATCAGGATGATCTCTCTTCAGCAATAGGCCCAAGTGAACAAGAAGCCGCTTCTCTGCCCGTCCACCCCAGAAGTTCTTCTCCAAGTCAACACCAAACCTTTTCTGATCTCTCCTTAACACCATCACAGGTGCTCCTGTCCCAGATTTTGATCTACAATGCATCCCAGGAGCAGAAAATGTTCGCCACCACCTTGTTTGACTGTGGTGTTTGTTTCATGAGCTGGCTCGGTTCAGAGTGCGTGCAGCTCTTCGGATGTGGACACATCTTCTGCAAGCCGTGTTTGGGCGAGTTCTGTAAGGTCCAGATAAAAGAGGGCAACGTCCGGGGAGTCACGTGTCCTCAGGCAGATTGCGGTGCCACCCCTACACCTGCACAGGTAGAGTCCTCACTCATACGTCTGTTCTCTCTGCATACCGCCGAGTGTTTCTGAAAGCTCTTGTGTTTTGGGGATGATGTGCAAGGATGTACAGTCGTCCTCAGATGTATTCATACCCTTCCATGAAAGAAAAGGCAAAATTCACAACAGTCACTCAAATAACTAGAAACTGAAAAAAGTAATAATAAATAAAAATTTGCTAAATTATAATTTAGTCAAATAAGACATTGCTTTTAAATTGTGGTTGAAAAGAATAATAATTTAAAAAAAAACTGTCCCAGACAAATTAGAGCACTTTACTGATGAGCAGTGGCCAAAATCCAAACACCTGTCAACAGGTGCAGAAGTCTGATTGAGAGTTACAGAAAACACTTGATTGGCTTAAAGGGATGTTCAACAAAATATTAGTATACAGGTCCCATCATGCTTGTTTTGTTTTTCTTTTCTTTTTATATATATATATATATATATTGGCGCAGTTGGTAGCACTGTTGCCTCGCAGCAAGAAGGTTGCCGGTTCGCGTCCCGGTGGGGGCACCGGAATCTTTCTGCGTGGAGTTTGCATGTTCTCCCCGTGCAGCGTGGGTTCTCTCCGGGTTCTCCGGCTTCCTCCCACACAGTCCAAAAACATGTTGAGGTTAATTGATGATTCTAAATTGTCCGTAGGTGTGAATGTGAGTGTGCTTGGTTGTCTGTCTCTAAGTGTGGCCCTGCGATGGACTGGCGACCTGTCCAGGGTGTCCCCTGCCTTCGCCCTAAGTCGGCTGGGATAGGCTCCAGCCCCCCCGCGACCCTAGTGAGGATTAAGCGGAGTATAGATAATGGATGGATGGATATATATATATTTCTGTTGAACCACAATTCAAAAGCAATGTCATGATTTTCTTTTTTTCTTTTTTTTTTTTAATTAATTATTACTTTTGTCAATTTCAACTTATTTCAGTGACAGCTGAACTTCTTAATGGGAGGGTATGAATACATTTGAGGATGACTGCATACATTTTCTTTTCCTTTTTTTCTCCTTTCTTTAGTGCTGCACAGAAAAAGATGCAATACTAAGGGTTAAGAAGAATCCTTACGAGTGTTATTTAAATGTGCTTGAAGCATCAAAAACACGTATGCAAATGGAAAACCTTTTCATAACCATTTTCCCCTTTAACAATGCAACATAAGTTGCGAGGGATGTGTTTTTATCCCCCATTTTTACTTGTCATCTGTAAAATAACTGATAAACGTGGTAGTTCAATAAATGTAGTGGATTAAAAAAGTACAATATTTTCCTCTGACATATGGTGGAGTAGAAGCATAAAAGAGCATAAAATGAAAATAGTACCACAAGTGCAGTGTATGAATAAATGCACTGTTGTGGCTTCAGGCAAGGATATGTTACCTAGAGAAGGCTGCCTGTGACCTAAAGTAGGCATCAGATCGGTTTCTATATTTGTATGCAGGTAAACATTAAAGTAAAGCCTCCTTACGAAACCTAATGTTGACCAGGGTTTTACCAGTTTGATTGTATCACGTCTTTCAGGCAACACAATGAATAGGGAATGTCCAGGGTGGGCCAGATACACAAGGTATACTCATGGATGAGCTTCAGCTTTCAAAGGAGTCTAATGTTCCTTCAAATGGGACAGTTTAACACCTCAAGCCCAGTGACGTCCACTTAGCTACAACTCAAATCCAATTTAAAAGAAATGTATTTGATTTCTAATTTAAGATCTAATAGTAACAACGAAACTATGGGATGTACGTCATGGCATGTTTCGAAACTGGAAAACAAAAGCTCTGAAAGGCTGAAACTCAATGTTTGAGAGCTGGAAATCTAATAAAAAATGTTTTCCAAGTTTAAAACTTTGAAAGCTTGCATCGTGTTTTGATCGACTGCAAAAAATGGTCTCTGCAAACATGACTTTTCACTGTTTTCCCTCTTCACACTTTTTCAAACTTTTATATTTGTGTGTCCCTATTTCATAGTTTGATTACGGTCCTTCTGTACGTGAACTCAGCGGAGCTTTCAAAGGGTGAGCCTTGGCCACATCTCATTGAGCTGGATCTCTCAACTGTACAGACTTGCTTCCACCGTTAGGGACATAGTGTGGACTGAGCAGGACATATTGCAGAGACAAACAACTTTGGCATTTCTGGCATCCAAGTCAAGGATATACACACCGAGAACAATATATTTGTAATCAGCTTATTTTTGGGCTATTTAGTGACAAGAAGTCTTTTGCATTTTAATTTGAACTAACTTCTTTGACCTCTTCTTTTCCTGTTGGGCAGGTGAAGAGTCTGGTGGGAGAGGAGCTGTTCGGCCGCTATGACTACCTCCTGCTCCAGTCTACTCTGGACAGCATGGCTGGTACGTTTCCCTCACGTTGTTGAAAAAACGTATTCAATGCCTTTATACATTATTTAATTTCTCTGGAAGTCCAGGCATAAATGCTATATTTAGCCCGGTCTTGGTTATAAAGAAGCACTGCGATTATCAATGAGTCTCCGCTCATGTCTCTTCTTCACTTCCCTCCTCTCAGATGTGACATACTGTCCTCGCCCTTCCTGTGCTTCAGCTGTCATTGTGGACAAGTCCAGCACTGCAGCGATGTGCTCTGTGTGCAGCTTTGCCTTCTGTGTGAAATGCAAGAAGACCTACCATGGAGCGCAGGACTGCCATACAATGAAGATAGGAAATGAAGAGACAGCTCCAGAGCAGGGCTATGCCAGTCTGCCACAATCACGAGGTACTCACAGATACACTGTGTGTCAGAAACAAAGGCTCATTAAGATCACAATATTCAGTAATAGGTACAACTTGTGTGTGAATGCTTTACACCTAAGCTGAGCCTTGTTTTGTTTGACAGAGAATACATTTATTCATCAGTACTTAAAAGCAAGAAGCAGAAGAAGCAGGGTGGAGATGTCCCAGTTTTAAATCTCATGTCAATGCCTTGCTCCATTTTTGCATAAATCTAAATGTATCAACCTTTGTGAAGGATTAAGGCTACTTTTCATCTCTCACAAGTAGAACTGAAATGATGATTATGAATGATTAATTGACAATGATTAATTTTTTCATCAACAGTTGAATAGAATGTTAATTAGAGCCTATTTAGAACATTGTTTGATCATTTTCAAGTGACAAAGTATTAAATCACTGGAATTTTCAGCTCTCAGCTGTAAGGATTTGCTGTTATTGGCATCTTTTGGAATCAAAAATTTCGGATATCATACAAAACAACACAGGTCTGTTTTAATGTTAATTGTTTTGTGGAGAAGTAATTAATTATTGTAGTCAGACAGATAACGGATAATATAAATATGTTGTTAGTTTTGTATCTTTTTAAAATTACTAGATATAAATTGTAGTGAAATTTTGACTTACAGCATATTAGTAAAACTGAGAATAGCTTTAACACCATTAAATATTCTGTAAATCTGTAGTATTAGATGCAAAAGAGCTGAAGCTGTACTACACGAGTTGTAAATGTATCAAAAACTGAAACTGTATTTTATGTTAATAGACTGTGTCTTTTTTCTTTGCCTAAAACTAAAAACTATTCAGCTTATCCTTACAAATCAGTAAACTAGATAAAACTTTAAGGCTTATTGACATGTAGAGTCATTAAACTACCAGATTAATTAAACAACAGACCAAAAAAAATTTAAATAGTTTTATGCAACAATGGAAGCAGATGACACCAGGCTCATGTTTGGATAGTACAGACAGTCAGATGTTAGAAATAACAATCCTAGGTCAGGCTTTGAGTACAGAACCATTACTTGGTTGAATGTGCAGTCTCTGTGGATGTAGATGTGTCTGAAGCGGTACTCTGTGTTGCTGTGTGTCTCAGTGGCGCAGAAGGCTATTTGGGATGACTATTCCAGCGCAAGCAAAGAAAGGAAGCGCCTCCTGGTGAGCAGATATGGCCGCAGCTTCATTGGAACTTTGCAGATGTGTCTGAGCGAGGACTGGATAACTGAAAATTGCAAGCCCTGTCCTCACTGCTTCTGCAAAATACAGGTATTTATTTACCCACCAGTTAGCGTTTATTTTTCACCCATACACAGAAACTCACGAGCACAGACGATCACATCTCTCCAGGCAGCTTTTAACTGCTTCGAAAACTTAATGCAGAGAAAATTTCAAGTCTCCATATCAGTTGCATTTCTAACTGTTTTATTGTTGTGTGTTGTGTTGCAGAAGACCACTGGATGTAACATGATGTTGTGTACTTGGTGTAAACAACGGTTCTGCTGGAGCTGCCTCGCCAGATTAGGACTGAGTTCATATGATCACATTCCGGCAAATGCCTGTGCAAGTCATAACTTTGGCAGGTGATGGACATAAAAACAGATTTAATGAAAAACAAACTAGGTCTTTTCTTCAATAATAATCTGGAGCTATTTGCTTCAAACACAGTTTGAAACTGTGCACAATAAAGATTTGAGGCTATATGATTTTTTAATAAAAATCAACAAAGAAAAGGGGCAAAAACTGAAATGATTTTCTTCGCTAGAAAATTGAATTTTAAAACTGTGTGTCATACTGTGTGTTGATCAGTAGAGGGAACTAAATAACAAGAATGACAAACCAACTTGGGCACGCTGGCGTCTAAGTTGACAAGCGATTACCTCTATATCAACAAATTAAAATTGTCCTTAATCAATCAATATTTATTAATCTAACAATACTTTGCTGTAAACTTTACTGTGACATGATCATTTACATATTGCAAAAGGTGAATAGTCTATAAAAGAGATTGCCCTGTTCCTCCCCCAGGTGTGATCAGGATACTGTTCTGTCAGTATTTATCAGTCAAGCTCATATTTATTTTTTCAATCAAATGTTTGGGCTATAAAATGAGAAAAAATAGTGCCCAGAGCCTATGGTGATGCCTTCATGTGCCGTCTTTTGTTTAACCAACAGTCCAAAACCAAAGATATTCTCTTTAACTGTCATAAAAGACTAAAAAAAAAAAAATAATGTTGCACTTTACTTAACTGTTGGTCAGTCAGTTGATCAAGCAGTTGGTGCCGCTCCAGTGTTTTGTGAATCACTTTTTAAGATTCTTGCAATGTCTTCAGGAGTATCAGATGTGCAATACATTTACTGTGGTAATGTTATAAAGCTAAAAGATAAAAGTGCACTATAAAATTATCACTAGAACTTTTAAGCACAGGGAAAGCAGGCTGACATACAGCCGGAGATGCTGTATGTGCGGCGAAAGCTTCAAACCTCTGCTCTGCACAGTTTACACGTGTTATATTTCCCTCGAAACAGCAGTTTACAGGTAGCTCTTGGGCGTTTGGTATCCACTCACTCATTGATTTCCTGTTTTTGAAGCGTCCCCCTCCCTTCCTCCCCTGTTCTGTCATAACAGTGGAACAAAGACCAGTGTTGCATGTCCCCAGGCTGCCTGCAGCATGATCGGAAATCTACAGCTGTCTCTCATATTAAAGCCAAAGTGTTTGTGCTCCTCCGTCTCTTCCAGGAAAAATCCCAAGTCTCTACACAGGGGTCACTTCCTCATAAATGTCTAAACAACTGTTTGCCTTACTGACCCGCGGTACTGTAGCAGGGTCTGGAGGACTGTAACTCAGACTCCGACTGTGTTTGTGTTTGTCCAGTCTCCTGGCCATTCCTGTGAGACTGAAAATACGATTGGAAAGGCGCACAGAAAAGAATGGCAACAAGGAACATAACAGATAACACGCTTAGAAAATATAATACGGTACTTGAGAACAACAAGAACTAAAGCTGACAAATTGAAATACCATTAAGAAAAAGACCAGATGAGGAGTAAATAATGCAGAAATCCCGGTCACAGGAAACTAACGAGCTTTAAACTCACACTGCATTAGCTTTGGCAATAATTGGAGCAAGATTTGCCTTCAGCATTGAATCTTGCAGAAAAAAAAAAGACTAACAATAGACCTTGCACAGAGGACATTTAACTTGTCATGGCGGGAGAAGCACAGGCGAGGTACAGTTGTTGCTGCTTTTGTGCTATGACAAGCTAACATGTCTGCTGTGGAAAAAGTCTACTTTGCTGCGGAGGCCCAGCAGAGAATGTCCGAAATATTCATTAAATGGCTCAAATGTACGAGAAAAGAAACTACTAGCAACACATACTGATCTGTTAACTCAGCTGTACACCTGAAAACATAACTCCTGTCAGTTTTTAATTGGTTTTAAATCCATACAAGGAGCAAAACAGCGCTGCAAGGTGCCTTGCCTCGCAGCAAGAAGGTCGCTGGTTCGCGTCCTGGTGGGGGCACCGGGATCTTTCTGTGTGGAGTTTGCATGTTCTCCCTGTGCAGTGTGGGTTCCTCCCACAAGTCCAAAAACGTGTTGAGGTTAATTGGTGATTCTAAATTGTCTGTCTCTAAGTGTAGCCCTGCGATAGACTGGTGACCTGTCCAGGGTGTCCTAAGTCGGCTGGGATAGACTCCAGCCCCCTGTGACCGTCGTGAGGATTAAGCGGTGTATAGATAATGGATGGATGGATGGAGCAGAATGCTACTGCTGTGCCGAATGCTGCAGTTTGACAATTTCACATAGAAATCCATCAATATAGGTCACAGGTTCAGCATGCATGACTCTTCAGGGAGCTTTACAGCAGACCATCACTGTGATGCCTCAGTGGTATCCGCTTTTCCATTATGATTTTTTTTTTTTTTTTTTTTTTGCGTTTTTGCGTTTCTGGGATGATTGTGAGAGTTTTCCTTACAGGTCAGTTAGATCTGGTGATTATCATAATTAAATATTCTGTTTAATTATACAGTATAGTATTGTAGTGATACCTCCCACCACCTGTGTTGACACTGTGTTATTAATATAAAGGTATATATATATATATATATATATATGTGTGTGTGTGTGTGTGTGTGTGTATGTAGGTTTAACAGCTATATCTGTATAATGCAGAGGTGATGTTTGCGTGTAGTAAGTTACTTTTTCAATAAACTGGTTCAGTCTGCTTCATATTGTCGTCCTCTTGGTCTGTCCGTTTGAAGCAAATGCATCCTGAGTCTCTCTGGACCACACTGACGGATGTGAACTTGTGAACTATTATCTGTTATTGAGTCTGTTTATGTGCAAGTTTCATGTCGAGTTGAAATGATTAAAAATGGGTCTGTATTCTAAAGCAGCAGCAAGGTACCTGCGGGATTTGGGGGCTTGAACTGTGCCGAGGAGTTATTAATATAAAGGTACAAAATCCCATACAGGCTAATAGTAATTCAAGTGCATGTATAATTTAAAAATGTTCCCCTAATAGCAGAGCATTTATAAGCAGAAGATATTTGCAGTGAAAGCAGAAATCTAAGCTTCTGTCACTTTTCATTGCTTGTGTGAGTATGAAATGCTCATACATTTACAGCAACTATGCTGTCGGTACAGGAGAGTATTCAGTTTAATTCTAATGAAAGAATTTACAAATAAAAAGACCCAATCCATGGCACAGATTCAAGTTAGTGGAAAAGTAATAGCTTAAACTCGAGTAAAGACCACATTTCAGGCAATCTGTAAGGTTTGTGAGATATCCTGCTGACAATTCTACCAGGGGCACAAAAACAGCTTTCCTGGCAGAAGTAATATCAAGAATAATGAGTAAATCCTGATTATCAGTGCAGTGGAAACTAGGCTATGGAGAGCGTCTTTTCCCAGTGAGCCAATAACCGGCATCAGCTAACAGTACGCTGATTTCCCCTGAAGCTGTACGAGCTGGAAGAGAACACATGAGACACACATTCACTGTAGTAATCATCAACTCAGCTGAGTTATTATCTGCACGTTTATTCATCTGTCAGAAAACACACACACACACACACACACACACACACACACACACAGCCTCGGAAATCAGCAATTCATTTGTCCAAGCATCGAGTCAGTCAGTGGTATATTGGCAACATTGTTCAGAGGCACTGAAAGTGTGCTAAGGTTTTCATCGAGAGTACAGGAGTCTATACTGTCCTGCAGGGACGCTGCTTGGAGCTCTGCAGCCCCTGACAGTAAATGGAGGTGGAAGGTCCTGAACTCTGACAGTGTACAAGACTCACTTTGTGTGTGGACCAGGATACATGGGCTTTCATGTGAAGCAAGCACAACCTGTCTCTTATTGTCGTGACTGAGTAACCGCATTAGCAGAAATGAGCCGACACGTACAGGAAAAACAGGCATTTGGGGAAATAGGTTCACTCACTTCATGGCTGAGAGTTTAATGACAAGGTCAATGCAACTCTCATCCCCGTGTGCCAACATTGAAGCTGGAACCAGGAGATGATTAACCTAGTTTAGCATGAAGACTGAAAACAGGGCAAAACAGCTAGTCTACCTCTCAATTTCAACAATCTGCCTAAAGCACCTTTAAACCTTCACTATTTAACTCTGTCCCAACATTTGACTACTTGAAACTTGTCCATATTGGCACAGTACTTGATAATGAGGAAGTTGAGGTTGGGTCTTGGCAATGCATTTCTGTGATAATAGATTTGTAATGTAGGTCAGTGAAGTTCACTTCCCTTTTCTCAAAGCTTTGGGTCTGAAGCTCATCAGTGCTATCCCAGGGTCAAGAAAGAACCCTAAACCTACAGTGTGTTTTTGAAACTTTTCAGTTTTTGCAGTCTGACATTGCTGCCATTGCTGCCGTTGTTCCCCTCCTCAGCTCTGGCAAAGCAGTCGCATAAAACACTTTGCTACCAGAGCACTGTATGTGGTCACAGACACCAGATGTAAAGCTCTGGTGTACTGTGAAATACAGAGACATGTACCTTACACTGATAGGCTTAATCAGCACTGTGAGAACTTATTTGGTTAGACTTTGAATGTAACACACATCAATCTATGTGAAAGTCCTGCACTTTAACGACACTGTGGGACTGGTGTCTCTCTGGATTATTGTCAATGTGACACTGCCAGGCAGCCAGCAGAGAGACTGCAGAGAAACATTGGGTGGATAAAAAGTTGCTTGGCAAGAAGTAACTGCAATATATAACTTCTTCTGACAACAGAAAACATGAATAGCTCAACATAAATATATCATATATATGACTAAACTTTAGAGGTGGAGGTACAAAGCTTTTAATGTTGGACACAGCCTGGGAAGCTGTTTTATTATTTCCAGTCTTTATGCTAAGCTAAGCTAAACACCTCCTGGATACAAGGCAAAGGCATGAGAGTGGCACCAATCTACTCATCTAACTCTCAGCAAGAAAGTGGAAAAAGCTCATTTCCAACAATGTCACACCAGTTCTTTAAACTGCAATTTAAAAATCCTGCTGTAAAAAAAAAAAAAAAGAAGAAAGAAATGTTTTCCCGTCCCAGTGGATGTGAAGTTGTCAATCATCTGGGTGATACAATGTCTGGAGAGATTCACTTAATTAGTTTTGAAGACTCTTCACCGTTCATCAAAAAGCTTCTTCAGTTCTAATTGTGGGGATGTGATTGTGACTGAGGACTCATGTCCTTGTTTTAACAGTGGATGGTTTCTGGTAAACATGGTTACCTAATACCTGTTCTGTTCCTCGCAACAGCTGGACCTAAAAAGCCTTTCATAAAAATGAGGTCCCACTAATTTGAATTCATGTTTATAAAGACGCCAGACCTGAACTGATTTGAGCACCTAAGTGAAAAACTTTCTAGTGCTTTTGATGCAAAACCTGCATCTTTTTTGTAAAATTGTGTCTTCTGATAACAGCAGACCAGGATAGGTCCACCATCTCTCTGATTTGTTCAAATCAGAACATCTCATTTCTCTGCAGTATGACAAATATATTGTGATATATATGCTAATTTGTGCTACAGCTGTTGTGTTTTTCCTGCTTAACGTCACTGTGTTGCCCATCTACCCTGATCTGCTCAGTCCAACAGTGCAGCACACGCAACAACACACAGTTACAAATATGATGCACATTCGCAACAATTTCACCTTCTCACCTCTTAAACATCAGGGTAAGAATAATTGAGAAGCAAATAATGACAATGATAGCAAAGTGTTCACTGGAACTCAACAACATATGATAGCACACTTTTCCATATAAACACCAGTGGCTTTTTATACTCAGTGCAAAATGGTGATTTTTTTTCCCAGTACCAGTTTGTAGAATCATCACAGCGCACAGACCTTTCCAACCAAGCAACCTGTTATATAAACCTCATAAAAACATTCTTAAACAGCATTCCTATATTTTCTCTCAGTAATAGAAACATCTCAACAGTTATGATTTTACTCATGCACGAAATAAACCAGATTCAATTTACACAGTGCGATATGTAACACTTCTCTGTCATTTACAATGAAGCTCTGAAGTTCAACTTATAAATTATGGTGCTGACACACATCAGCATCGATTAATAACAGTGAAACTAATTATTATTCGTATATTATAGTTACTAGCCCCTATAGCCTTTAACAAGGAAACACAGTTAGAAGAAAATAAATGGAAACAGTACAACGGATGTTTGAACTGTTTCAACATATTATCAGACCAAACAACAACTAAACAGTCTTTAATAAGTATTAATGCAATCTCATCTATTTTAGTGACCACTCTGCAAAAGAAAAGTGCAGAAAATTGTCAAAATAATAAACCTATTAACAGGTAATGGATGTATGTTCACATAGATGCCTTTAACTTCTTTACCACAGTGGTTTCTTGGTTTTTTTTGGAGTTTTGTCTGTTGAAGTCGCTCTCTGATCAAACCCATAAAAACTCAGCTCTGTGTATCAAAGTTACATATTTAGAAGTTTTTCAATGAAAATAATCATCTTCCTGCCTTAAAATGGCTTAAATGCAACTCTACAGAGTTGCCATCTAAATGTGCAGATCTATGAACTCCCCACCTCTCTCTCTCCACCATCCCCTCTCCGCTCACTGCAGCTGAGCACACCAGCTCACCCATAACTCTGTTCAAACA